CAGCAGGAAGGCAGGTTCATGGAGGACACTGATTTTCTAGACAAAATACAGCCCTCTTTTCCCCTTCCAGAAGAATCTACATGATGCCTTGTGTCTATTAATAAAAACATATAAAAGTTTTATTTTTGTCAGTACTAAGGAACTAAGAGTCTTTCCTGTGTTACAAGCACAAGATTCCTGCACAGAAAGGGATTCAGGTTTAACTCCGTATTCAGGAAATGATTGACCTGATTGTTTTTTGGATGTAAGAAAGCAAGGAAAAGGAATGTTATTCTTCCTGAATGCTGCTACACTAGCAGCAACAAACATAATTAACACAAGAAATGTCCTAGAGGCATTTTGCTCTCTGCCCAGGGTCAATAAATCCAAGCAAACTGAGCCTGAAGATCTGCCACCTTACTTGGATTTATGTCACCATTTATGGTAGCAACAGTCTTCACTGTGACTTTTTCCTGAAGATTACAAGGACAAGAATTGCAAGCCTTTAAACAACTTCTGTACGACAAACAAGGAAAGTCCTTGTCATACGATTCGTACTTAAAAGGGGAGGGGAAACATGGACGACTAAGGTGAAACACGGGACACTGCTAAAGGAGCTTGTAAGCAGCTTTAATTTCTCAGATCAGTTAACTCCCTCTCAGACTTCGTCTTGAAGAGCCAGGAAAGAGTAACAACATAAAGAGCACACTGGAAAGCATTCTTGGTGACCTCTAACATACCTTCTCACTAGCATGGAGTCTCAAAGCAGAACCACACCAAAAGCTACACAGCTATGATGAAGAAAACTTTTTTTTTTCCCAGTACAGACTCCTGCAGGTTTTGTCAATTCTGTGCAAATGCTATACATCCCTAGATACAGCCTGTTCTGAGGCAATACAGGCAACTGAGGACTTTGGAAAATGGCCCTCAGAAGAAGAACATCATTTTTTCTTCTGGGATTTAAGTAATGTAAGTTGAAAACAGTAGATAAACAAATACGAGAAGAAAGGCGATTTGAGACATACAATGTCTTGTAACAACAACCCCTTACTCTGCTCCAATCTCAAATGCTTCAGAATAAAATGATAAAATAGCAGATTGTGTGTGCATCAGCATACAAGGCACATGACGGAAACAGGAACTCTATACATGTCCTGCAACTATTAATGAAATGAAAGTTTCACATCTCAAGTACTACCAAATATGTAACTTATGTGCATTAATAAAAAAAAAAAATATATAGTGTATTAAAAATGGTTACTTATGTCACAAATTTATAAAGAAAAGGCAGCACTATCAAATAGGCAAAGTTATGCCAGAAAGCCTGGGCAAGGAAATGAAGTAACTGATATCTCTCCTATGAATCATTGTTGTGTTCCCGAACTGAAACATTCTTCTGTGTAGGAAGTAATACCCCCACCCCCAAACAAACAAACAAAACAAACAAAAAAACCCCACCCAAAAACATTTTAATCGAACTTTTCCCTCCACTAAAAATGCATTTGGACAATCACTAGAACAGAACAGTAAGCTAAAAACATCTGGACTTCACGTCAGTTACGTTCTAGTTTTACATTTAGTTCTTATTACCTGTATTATACCAAGCCAGCAGGAAATCAAATTCTAAAGGTTTATTTTCTTTCAAGGCCCAAAGCACTCTGTTATGTATCTTGCTATCAGGGTGAAAGCCGGAATCAGTCAAGTCAATAGTTATAACTGCAAAAATGTACAAATCAATTGTTACTCAATTACAACAAATTTTATATTAAATTCATTAAGAACAAAAAGAACACAAACAAACCAAAGAACATTAAGCTAGCTTCCTTTTCACATATGCAGCGTCTTTGATTAAGCAAGTATGACTCTCCATTATGTAAATAATTATTTACCTCCTGCTATCCTATTTTGATCGTCTGGAACTGCCTTGTAGTGACTGGAGGGACATATTCCTTTTGTAATGGCAGTGCCAAAAGTCCCAAAACAGCACCTTAAAAATACCTTGGCAATTAGGCCAGCTATTAGCACTAAAAAAAGCTACAGTTTCTAACATCAAAAGCCACATCTATGGCAATGACACTTCAACTGTTTTTTTCAAGATGAATTGGTCCCAGGCCAAAAGTCACATTTATTTTTCAGACTGAAATTTCAACATACATTTTACTTTACAAACTGAATAGTAAAATGATGTCCCATTTTGCCAAAATCCTTATTATAAATAACAAGTTTCCACTTGTACAGTTTTTACGTAACTACCTATTCAACTACTGCAGGTTCCAACACATTTGAGATGGCACAGTGTTCACGTTTTTTCAAATTATTTACCAAAAAAAATTAACAAAAATCCCACTATGTTTCATCTGCAGCTGTTAAAAAAATTACGTTTTCCAAGTACTTGATATATGGAGGCTACCGTTTCAAACATGTCAAATGTAACACAACTCCCCCTTTCAAGCAAGCAGTCTTGGGTGAGGCTCTTCACCGCTATTTTCTTTTAATAGTGTGAAAATTTTAAGATCTATGTTAATTAGTTTAGTGTTTTCCAGTTTAAATCAGAAGGCGTAGATACTGGGCATAGTATACAAAAATTCTTGAGTCCCTCACGACTCCAGTATAAAAAATGCAATGAAAAACAACCCATAAATTAAAAGTTTTATAGAACACAAAAAAGATCACACATTTGTTTCCTTATAGCTGCTTTATTATTTGGAAAAAGTATTTTTTCTCTTCATGCAGTCCTTGTACCTGCATCTGGAAAAATATGACCTAGACGATAACCAATTTTAAGGAAAGGGAAGTTTCAGCATTGCTGGTTTAACATCCTAACAAGGTGCTTCACAAACAGATCTGAAATAAGCACTGTTAATATAAATAATACTTACTATATCTCATTACTTTTTTGCCAGAATACTGAGAAGGGCGACCCTGCAGTCCGAGTTCCTCATAGGTATCCTTATCCACTGACAAAATTAGTTTTCCTATAAACAAACCAAACTTTAATACAAATAATCTTCTACTTGGTTCCTTTGAAGTCTTCTGTGAACCGTATACCTTACACAATGTTAGCTTTGGATCAATGGTATTACTCATGTAATCCAGACTCCTTCGTTCCAGTTAAATGGATTACCAGATTAATCCTTAAAAAAAAAAGTAATAACTCAATTACTCTATTTTATCAGAGAGGTCTTACAAACTAGAATGAGAGAAGTGTAATATTATTCCCGAGATGGTGATAGCTTTTTTACTCTACTACCTCACTTCATTGCCTCAATCCTCCCTCCACACGTCCCTGAGCATTTGCTATGTCACTGGCTGAACACTCCATGACACTGGGGCCTGACCTGGTGAACGGTCATGCAGCCACCGCTCCACTAAACATGCAAAAGCCGTTCTTCCAACTCCAGTGGGACTGCTCACACTGAGCGAACTATGCTTATTAGTGATGAGCAGACACGCGCTGGAACAACCCCACTGCCACGTTCATAAAGCGAGTCTGGCAGCTGCCACCTGGTGCAGTTTCACACAACAGATCCCTACTACAGTCTTTGATTCTACGGTACAAGTAACAGCACAACATAGAACACAAACAAGTCAGGCTGCTGATGAAGATTTCAGATCATCAGGAACTGTAAGGCTGTCTTGGTACTGTTGTGCATAGCTGGCAATAACTATCGCACATGCTCAATCACTATCAACGAGCCGTTTTGCTAGGGCTGTGCTAACAGAGCACAGGAAAGAATGCTCTTCTGAAGAATCAGAATTCACTTATGCCCTGATGGGCACCTGTCATATAAGAGCATCTTAGGCTAGAGAGCTAATAGACCTACTGGTGTTTCTATTACATCTGATACATTGTTGAATGGAAATGACGACATATTTGAAGCTCAGAATAGCTTCATTATTTTCTCTGCATGTAAAATCCCACCTGAGATGGAACATTTTGTCATAAACCTGCAATGGAACTGCAACAGAGTAATTTAACACGTCACATACTTCTCAAAGAATAAACACTAAGTTTTTAAAAAGTGTTCCTAAGCAGTGCTGATGATCTTCCTTTTTGGTACAGATTGTGCCTTCAAGACCAATAGGAAACAAGAAGTTGCGATGCAATGTTTTCACAAAAATAATCCTCTGCAGCAACTGCAATTACAGTGGAAGCACTGACAATCTGACACTGTACATAAGTGAAGCTGGGTTTTTTTTACATTTCCTTTAGATTACATAATTTAACAGCATGAATGAAAAAATAAGTTAAAAATAGTATTATTCTGATTCAAACATATTTCTAATAAAGTTGGCAAGTACACTAAGCATTAAATTTTCCCATTTAGATAATTTCAAATTAAAAAAAAAACCAACCCAAAACCAAACACAAGACCATAATCAATATGTATTACTCAAAACAAAATGGAACATACCACTTGGTAGCAGAGCTGCAGTATTGTCTTGGTCAATCTTTGTGTTATAGGTGAGTGCATAGCACGAACCTTTAATAGTAAAGCAGAAAACCATGAGATTACACACTCTCTAAAGACAGACATGACAATACGTAAGACTCACCTCAAGATAATCAAACACGCCAAATACCATTTGAATCACTCCAAGTCCTCGTGACTTCATTAACTAACTTTCTTTCACCTTCTCAAGCAAAATAGCATCTCAGTATTATGTTTCTAAACCTTGGACTGGCACTACTTTGAAGGACCTGTCATACAGATAACGTTAACAATATGACCCAAAATGAAAACACTTTCTTTCCACCTGCAACCTTCCCCACTCAGCAAATGGAAAAATCACATTTTTTTCCAGACACATTTCTATGATTAGTTCACATGAAGACAAGGTGGAAGATGCTCACATTACTAAATATATGTCATAGCATTAACTGCCACAACCAATTTTGTTCTTAAAAATACAAGAGCCAGATCCTGTAAAGGCGGCGTACAAACGTTGAACTGCTTCCATAAAACTACTGGCACAAAAGCCATTAATGAGACTAAAGGAAATACGACAGTCCCACACTGAGAAGGTAACGGATCTCATTCTCCCATTGCACCCACATGTTCTCTTCTCTCCTCTCTTTTCCCTTTAAAGGTTTTTTCTCCCTGACAATCATCTGAAGGGTACAATACTTATCAGGAGCCGAAGGAGCAGGGCTCGCTTCACGAAAACAGCGTGCTCCATGTATGCAACAGCAAGCTTGCTGGGCAGCGGCTGCATCTTTCTTCACATCCTCTTTGCTCTTACTGTGTAAGGATGAGCCATTGCACCTCTATTAGCAACACCCCAGACAAAAAAAAAAAAAGAAAAGGGCAAAAAAAAAGCACATATTTTTTCCTTTTTCTCTTGCCTGCTGCGGAACACAGCTCACTCAGCTCTGTGCTAAAATATGACAGAATCTGAAAGGGAGAAGGGAGCTGATTTCTGCAGGAATCTGCATAAAACTGAGATGTAGAAGATAAACGAGTGTGAGGATACATGGCAGCCCTCATGACAGCTGGCTTGCAGAGTTAATATGGAATAGGGAGAAATGATGGGGGAACAGTCATAGAAGTTCAACGAGTGTCGACACACCACAAAGCAGAAAAAAGTAGAAAAAGAAATTAATACAGAATTTTCTTAGTATTTTTCCCTCCCTTCCTTAAAATACTTCTCAGAATAACAAAAAAATGGATTTTACTGTGTTACAAAAAATGTACACTATTACTGCATCTGTCATGCTTTGATTACCTCCTTACCTTTCTTCACAAAAGCATCGATGAATTCATGAGCGACCAATTCATGAACTGACAAATTCCTCACCAGGTAGTACTCTCCAACATTTGCAATAGTACTTTTCAGCACTTCGGGTAGCATGCCACATTCAGGGATCAAAAAAGACACCTATTAGGAACATATTTGTAATGTAAATCATATCCTTAAATCTATTCTAGAATAAAACCAAGAAATAGAAAAAATTTTCTCTTCAAAGAAATCAGTATGTCACATCAAAATGAGATGAAGAAAAAATAATTTCAAGCTATTGTCTTCAAAATGTATCAATTTGCAAAAAAAAGCCTCTAAATACAGCAAAGACATTATTTGGTTTTTGCATTTTACATGCTATACAATAGTATTTGAGGTGTTACATAAAGACTTGACCTTACACAGCATGACTTGACTAATGACCTTGTTTCACATCATTATACATTTAGCTTTAAGTTGCACTGGAACACTGCCTTCAGCCCTTGCTGCAAGAAGCAGTTATAACCCAAAACGTGGGCTAAGCATTTATGTAATGTCACTGGAAATGCAGAGACCAAAGTAGAGTTTAAACTAGGTCTTGAATCAATGCATTCTTCCCTGTAGAATATTTTGGAGATCAGGAGAGCAAACAGATCATCAGAGCAAAAGTTGAAGATTGGCTTATGACTTTCATGAAAGTCACAAGGCGCACATTGAGGCTACAACTCCTGTAGCACGTTTCTAATTTAAGGTAGAAAACTGATTTTCAAAAGGGATGAGCACCCAGCTTTTCTTACTAAACTCAACATTCAGTCTTTTGGTCCAATTGCCTACCTTTAGTTTCCCTTTTGTTTAAAACCTTTCCTGTACATGTTCCATAGATCAGAGAAGTCCCAGAGACCAGGGCAAACAAGGCTACCACACGGGCCAATACTAAGCTTCCCAATAACCATGCACGAGTAGCATAAAGCTTCACCCTCCTGCTCCTTCCCACTCCACCCCTCAAAAACTCCTTTTTTTTTCGAAACAAAGGGGCTCACAGAGAACGGGTACATGTCTCCCATTGCACACATACACAAGGGCAGTAACAACGGACAGACGAGCTGCCCACCACACGAGCAGAGAGCTTCCTAGTGAGCTGCTAAACAAATTACTGCGGAAATACCAAGAGAGTCCGACTGGCACCGGCAGAGAAAGGAGAGCGAGCGGGCAAAAGCCGGCCTTCGCACCACTACGTCGCCCCGCACAAGGCAGCGGCTGCTGATGGCGGCACGGTACCGGCAGTAGGAGGGACGGCAGGAGGAGGGCTGCCTGGGCACACGGGCGGCCCGGCTTCAGCCGCGGCCTCCCTCGCTGCAGGGGGCTCCCTCAG